ATGAGAGGAAAAACTCAAGAATCGATAGAGAGAGAACTCAATGGTCGAAGAAGATAGAAGGACTAAAACCCCGGGAGCCAAGAAACGCGTATATATCAGAAGTCTCTAGAAAATCATCATCCAACGATAGCAATGGTGACACTTGGCATGATCCATATCATTTGCTCCATTTGTAAAAACGTGTTTTGGGAAGACGATTTATTACCAAATAAATTGAGTCAGTCAAAGTCAAAATAGGGTCATCCAATCAGCAATAGATCCACATCATTGTGCCATTTCCTCACAATGTCCATAAATGTCAACCAAAAATAAATAGAACAAAATGAATGTACTCACTAGAAGAGAGGAGGTTATGGAAGGGAAGTGCAATTTAATAAATTGCTGAGGAACTATGATAACTGTTTACAGATTTCGAGTATTTCAGAAAAAAGTCGCATTTTTCACATACTCGATATACAACATTCCAACAATAGCATATAAGACAATGAGGAGGACCAACAATACTAATTGTGCGCCAGTGCCAACTAGAGCAGAGAGTAAAACTAAACTCTGGGGAGGCCGAAATACGTCTTCATGAACAAGTTTCCAACCAAACTCATCACTGACATCTCTTTCCTAAATATGAAGAACTTAATTGACTGACAATGCATTTAAGAGAACATCAAGTATTTGATGTTAAGATCATTACCAGGGCTTCTAGATCATCATCATCACGAGCATATTTAGCATAATCATTCCTTAAAGTGCGCATCAATATCATCGACGCCAGACCGGTAAGGAATATAACCATCATGAAGGAATTGAAAATCGAGAACCAATGAATCTGCAAGATACAGAATGTAAGTCACGACCTATTACCTGATAATGAACAATTACTATAAGACAAAAAATGCCCCGTTGGAGAAAAGTGTACCCATGTAAGCAACAAAATCAAACATGCAAAAATGATATTGGCAAAGGGATTGAGGTTCTTATGAAATTACAAAGATATAGAAACCAACTAAAGCACACTTACATGATTTTATCTTAAGCTCTGGAACCTCACATTGAAAACTATTTTCCTATAATGATATCAAATAAGAATGTCAATACCCGATGCTCAAAAAATGGGTGGTCCAGGTAAACATCAAAACGACGTGCAAAAGAGACATTTGTAGGGATCCATTTCACGAAATATGTCATGTCCAATGTTGTTCCCACTCCCAATAGTTTTGGGCTGTCTTGGGTGAGGTTGACCTGAATGATCTACAAGATAAAGAAGTTAGCAACAAGAAAACTAAACTGATCCTAGAAATACAAGACAACATTGAACAGCCACAGACTTGATCTTTGTTGTATTTCACAGTAATGCTCTTATGCATGTAAAGCACATGCTTGTTGTCACTATTCCAGTCGAGATGCATCTCACCCTATGATGCTCGGACTCGGGTGCGGGTGTCGAATACGGGTACATATCTAGGAGTCAGATTCTTCTCATTTTAAAAATTAAGATATGGGGACACATTTAAAAAGGATCCGAATTCTGGACACCGGTACGGGGATACGTCTTATAAATTTTTCCTTAAAAAAATGATTCAATTAAGGCAAACAACCACAATATTAAAGCAAAATAGCAAAATTACCACAATACCAATGTTGCATTTAATAAAATCCAAATTCGATCAAAACACAATTGAAAATAAAGTTAAACATCCAAAATGTCATAACATAAAAGTAAAAAGTTTTCCACTTGAAATAAAACTAAACAAGCATTCCCGATCAAGCTTTACTCCTCTTCTTCATCAAACGTAATTGCCTCCAATTCTGGCTCATCAAGGGATAGTTCCGCCATCTCAATGATACCTTGTCCATCTAATTCAATTTGATCTCCACCTACAAAAAATATAGATATATGATTATTAATGTGAAAAAATTAGATATCTAAAAAAAACAAAGAATATAAGTATTTGGTATACATACACAAATCCCAATATTTTGTTGGCCCATCTTTGTACTCCTCTTCTTTTCGTGACAGGAGTCGAAGATGACAACGAATAAATACCAAGTCTTCCGCCCTACTAGTCACCAGCTTGTTTCTCTTGATACTCTGGATGAGTGAATACGTGCTCCAATTTCGCTCACAATAAGAAGAGGATGCCGGTTGCGAGAGCAATTTAAATGCTAGAGATTGCAACAAAGGTACTGAAGAACCATGATTGGCCCACCAAGAGATTGGCTCTTCGTACATTCTTGCGTCAATAACATGGGGTTGATTGAAATACTCCGATCCACTAGAAAAAGAACCAAATTCAGCATATGCTTTCCTAAAATCAACCGAATTTTCAAACAACCTTTCGAAGCATTTGCTTCTATTCATTGAAACTTCTTGATCTTCATATGGTGCAATTCTTGGAACATCGTTACTACCATCTTGAAGCTAAGATTCATTATAATACTTAGGAACCAAAGAGTGTGCCATACAATGCAAAGGAGTGTTACTCTTATTCCATCTACTCTCCAAAACTTGGTGAATAGCATCAAAAAAATCTGAATGCCCAGAAATTAAATCTATTCCTTCGTGCTCAAATACTATCTTTTTCACATTTTCAATCATTGTATCCTACATATCATATATTAAACGTAGAACTGGAGAATCAGTATCAGCGACTCGTAACATATTATAAATAGGCTCGGTGAAAGATAAAAAATAATCCAAATTATCCCACCAAACATCATTTACTACACACGTTTTCACTTCTTGTGATTTGCCTTCATTACTTCCATCCCTATAAATTCTCCAATCTGAATCCATCACCATTTTTTCAAGGGATGGCCTAACTTCTCTTAACCGTTTACTCATTACAATAGCAGATGCAAATCTTGTATCAGCCACCCTCAACAAACACAACTTAGAATATTTATTATATATAGCTAATGCCATTTCATGATTAACAATAAAATTACGTATGTTTTCCATATCACTCACCAAATCAACAATCCACTTACAATATGCATATTGTGGTGATTTTTCAGAAGGATCACATATACTTTTCAAAGCTAAATTCAGACTATGTACCACATAAGGAGTCCAAAAGATATGAGGATACCTTTTTTCAATGCTTAACCCAGCAGCTTTATAGTTGCTTGCATTGTCTGTTATAA